TGCGGCATTTTTGATACGTGTGAAAGCCTCCACTGTTTTATTTTGGGTTCTTCCAATTATGACGATATCATCAGCGTATGCCATTATTTGTATACTACGGGTATATATCGTACCTTTTAAGTTTATTTCCGAATCTCTCATAACTTTTTCTAACGCTAGGTTGAACAGCGTGCACGATAGCGCATCTCCCTGGCGCAGTCCTCTGTTGGTTTTAAATGGTTTTGAAACATCCCCTTGTACGCGCACTTTACATTCGACTTTCATCATTGTCATTTTAATTAATTCTACCAAACCTTTTGGTATTCCTAATTCGATCATCGCCGAATATAATTGGGACCTGTCAATAGTATCGTACGCTGCCTTAAAGTCTACGAAGATGTAATGGCAGTCTATGTCGTACTCCGTCGTTTTTTCTAATATTTGTCTGATGGATGATATGTGATCAATGGTAGATTTGTTTTTCAAGAAGCCTCTTTGGTAGGATCCTATTATATTGTGAGTATACCGTGCCAGTCGTTCGTTAAGTATCAGGGTCACAATTTTGATTGCTGTATTCAGAAAGTTGGAACATTCAAGACCGTTTCCTTTTTTGTGTATGGGGCATATAATTCCAGTATTCCAATCTTCTGGTAACTTGCGTTCTTGCCATACCTGTATTAGTAGTTTGTGAAGGAGGGTTACAAATGTTTGACCGCCAATGTAATATTTCAAGTATATTTAATGTGTTTGTATAGTTTAGTTTTTTAAGAGGCATGTTATGTTGTGTTAAGTTGTAAATCTAACTTAATATTTGTGAACCTACCTTAACATTAGTGACATGTCAAATAGAAGAAGAAGCCGGGAGTGAAAAGGAAGGACAGACATTGACGGTCGACAGACTGGTCTTATGGCTCTTTAGAGATAATTACGTATGAGTCTATTATAACAAAAAGCCCACAGAGAACAAACAAAATAAATTTTTTGAAACCATGTTTTTGTTTAGCTATTTTTAGAAGTACTGCATATGAAAATAAAATTAGTTCTATAAAAATAAAATAATATAAAAATTAATTCCAAAACTACTACTAAAAATCGTTCCAAAAAATTAAGAACTATAAACCAAATAAAATGTTTACCCAATTAGATGTTCAAACAAACCACCACCTTCTGCTAAACAGAAACCAAATCTATTATACAACGCCTTTCACATGGCGAATTCGTGCGTGTGCAAATTGCTCTTTAACATCCCCAAAAATAAAAATTTAAGGAAGTTAAATCTAAGAGTCAGAGCCGCACATGGATAGTGTTTTAGTTAAATTATAGTAACATCTACATTGTATCGCTTTAATTTTAATCTTTGAAATTTTCACAATCTCAACAATTTTGTACTGTTTTGTGAAAAGCTTTTAAGCAAGTACTCAAGTTTTTACTAATGGCCTTCTGATAGGACCGAAAACGTCTTGAAAAATTTTATGTTTTCATTATGTGAATATATTTTTTAACAAGTATACCAATTACATTGGAAGTTTTTTAGTTTATTGTAAATGAAGAGTTTATTTGAAAAACAACACATGTCCATTTTTTGCAAATTTTACTTTATGTGTTGTTTGCATAGAATAGTAGCTTCTTTATTGATCTCACACATTCAGTAGCGTAAAAATCCCAGATGTCCGGATTAACCACATAGAAAATCACATAAATTAGATTTTACAATTTTAAGTTTTGCCAGATGCGCTGGATAACATGCCTGATTTCATTCTGATAATAGATGTAATGTATGTTTGTGGAACAGAGTAATTTTTAAACCAAAATTCACTCGGAATTGAGGGTTGAATGAGTGCATCTTGTGAGTTGCTCACAAAACGCATAAAGGTGATAATGATATTTTAGCTCGAACAACAAAAAATTAGTGTAGGTAAGTTTTTCGATAATAACAAACTGTTTTCTCAAAGCTTATGACTTCAATCTTGGTTGTAAACGTTACCGATGGTTTTATGTAATAATACAGGAATAAACTTATTGAATATCTTTTAATAATATGAAGACCAAAGATGAGCAGGATTCATATTTATCAAGACTCATTAGCGTTACTCTAGTTCAGACGCAGTTGTATTCCTAAGTTGCTTTACCTAACTACAGTACTACTAGTGACAGTGGAATGAAGATACAAAGATCGACATCAACAAGGTTCACCACATGTAGCTTCTTTTATGTATAAAATTCGACTACCGGGAAAGAAAGTAAGTATTTGTCCCAAAGCTTTTCGTAGTATTTACGGTGTTACTGAAATGCAGATCCGTCGAGTTAGAAATCGCTTAGAAATGAGTAGATGTTCTCCAAAAGATGCCCGGGGCAAACATACAAATCGGCCTAAGAAGACACACCCTGCAGATATATAAAACATAATAGCTTACATTTCTTCTGAAACTGGACAAAAAGCAAATTTATCTACCATCAGTAAAAAATATGTACAGAACCTTTAAAGAACTTCACCCACAGTCCAAGGTTTCTCACTTTGCTTATTATAACATATTTCAAACTCGATTTAACATATCTTTTTTTATGTTTCTTACATTTTATGATAAAAAACGAAAAATTAAACATAAATGTCAGCTTAGTAATATTGTATCTGCAATACCCTTTGACTTTATGCAATATATATATATATATATATATATATATATATATATATACATATATATATATATATATATATATATATATATATATATATACTGGTATACTGGTATACCCCGTAGCGGAATACTGTGCACCAGTATGGATAAACAGTCCACATACTCACCGTGTTGATGTCCAACTCAACCAAGTCATGCGAACTATATCGGGCACAATCAAGGCCACGCCCACTTACTGGTTACCAGCTTTGAGTCATATAGCTTCACCACCCATCCGCCGGGAACATGCCCTTGTCAGAGAATTTACGAAAATCAATCTGATCCTGAGTTCCGCTCCCATGTCGGAACTTCCGCCAGAGACATAAATAGGCTCCGTTCAAGACACCCGCCTCTAAAAACAGCAAAAAGGCTAGTAGATCAAAACTTTAATGTAACTGAACGGTGGAGAGAACAATGTACGTATTACAAGCAAACCTGAGGGCTTCAACCAACCAAGACGAATTTGGACCACACTCAATAGAATAAGGACGAACTGTGGTAGATGGTCTGACTCACTTTTTAGATGGGAAAAAATACAATCACCAGATTGCGACTGCGGCGCCGAAAGGCAAACAGTAAAACGCATGGTAGAGGAATGCTCGATTAGATCCTATAACGGCAACCCTTCAGATTACCTGGCTGCTACAAAAGAGTCAATCGAATATATTTATAATCTAGATGTTTGTTTGTAGAATATTATTTTTGTATTTACTGTTGTTTGTAATTTATATAATTTATATTATATGTATATATATATATATGAACCTGTGATGTAGCCATAGGCTAAATAAATAAATTTGCAAAATATTCCACTACCCAATTTGGCTACAAATAAAGTTTTCTACAGCACACAACTTTGTTATTTGGTGTACACGACATCGGAGGTAATGATGTCTATATTTATACCTATCACGAAGAAATGGCTAAAAGTGGTCCAAATGAAGTAACTTCCATAATATTTCATTATCTGAAAGATCATATACTCGATAAAATGGACAAAATATGGATTTTCTCTGATGGTTGCCCGGCTCAGAACAAAAACTACATCTTTATCCGCATTTCATATATTATCCTGGTGCATGTAATGAAATGATCATTAAGACAACACACGTATACCTACTACGAGGATATCCATACCTCCTTGCGATAGTGATTTTGATCTCATTTCTCGTGCAAAAAAAGTAGTTGTTGATATTCCAGAAGAAAGGGATGATCGTATTCGGCAGTCAAGGTCTAAACCTTTTCCATTTAAAGTGGTTAATGCTGAGAAAGAAATTGACTGGTTCTTATGAACGAAAGTTTTAAGGATTTATTTTTAAAGAATCCAAAACCAAAAATTTCATTGAAACCATAAAAAATGTACCGAATATCTGAGAAGTATCCTGGATAAGTTTTAATACGTCAAAGCTATCACGGCCCATGGACGTTCCACGACATTACTGTAGGAGAACACCAAAACAAATAATTATGTATGATACCAAATAAAGCGAAAAATAAAATATGTCAATCAAAGTTTCGCAATCCAATGGATTTAACTGAATATTTCTAGAATCCTCTTAATAAAGAATGTTATCTTAAATCTAGAACCAGAATCTGAGGAAAACAAGGACCATACTCCAGTCGTAGAACTATTTAGCGATGATAATAGCAGTGGTCTAGAATGGACATCATAGATTTTTTTTGTTAGTTCTACGAGGATATTATATATGTTCATTTTCCAATATATTTTGGTAAGTTTCTACAGATTTTTGTTAAAAATATCATTAAAAATATGGTATCAACTTGTACAATTATTTTGATATCCACATTCCTTCCAATGAATATCTTGTCAATGAATATCTAGTAAAAGTAAGATTTGAAATAAATTGAAGCTGGGCAGTTTTTCTTGATGAGCCAAAATTTTAATTTTGGATAAGTGTTGTTTTTTAAATAAACGCTCCAAATGCATCTTTACTTTGTTGTACTCCAACCATAAAGCCATTTTTTGCATGAATTTGGTTATAAAGAATATTTCAACTGTAGGGCTAAAAAATTGTAGCAGTCACACTTTGATAGACTTTTTTTTCTATGTAGCTATACGCTAATTTTATTATGTTTCTATTGGCAATCAAATCAAAATCATAATCAGGATTTTGACAATTTAAAATGTGTCACTATTTATTTTTATCCATTTTGTATAATTATCTTTTAAATTGAACTTCTGAAAATTTACCGGACACTCGTTCATTCAGGAAGTGGTATTATTGTTTTATCAGCAACTAACTCAACGATCAGCGCACGCTATTGCCGCCGACCTGACCGTCCCCCCATACTTATATTTAGCGGCAGGAATCCGAACAAAGCTTCAGATTTTCAGAATCATCGAGACTGTACCGACCGAAAGCGCTACTAACAAGTAACATTTACTAATTTTCGTACGGAGTGATATCTACAATTTTGAACATGAGAGGAACATTGGCTGTTATTGCCCTTTTGGGGTATTTGTGCTGTACGACTGCTTTGCCAGGTAAGCGAGTTTTTTTTTGTATTTTTCACGACTAGAACCGGTTTGTTTACTTTTGATTATGATTTTTTTTAATGAGGACAATGTTTTCAGCCGGTAAGCCTGCATTATTTCTGTGTTTTTATGAAAAGCTTTTATTTGGTTTACCTATCCAAAAGAAAAATAATTTTTCTGCTCCTTTATTTAAAAACAGATCCCCTTGATGCAACTCGCTTGACCTGTTGCTTTTGTTTATTTATTTTTTTCTATCTACAAGGTATTTCTAGTTGGACTATCTACCTTTGATCTTTTTTAGTTGTGGCAAGTCTTGCTTACTAATATTTCTTCTGGTGAGACCTGTTTATGTCAAATGTTGCCTATATGTTAATATGTATATTTTACGCAGTTTTTTTAATAACTTTATACGTAATCAGTATTTTTATTCTGAATAATACTTGTAATGTTAACTTTAGTATTATTGGAACACCCTTCAGATTTTCTTTTTAAATAAAATTTTTTTGTGAACAGCGATTAAATTTCAGTACAATTAATTTGTGTAGAGGAAGATTCACTTGAATACCAGATTGGCAGACTGTTCAAAAGTAAGCAGCAAGTTTTATTTATGCCTATATATTTTTTAATCGTACAGATATTTGTCATTCAGTAAGTCAGAACTTCCCACCCCTGTGGATTTGCACTCGATCTCCTTCCCTCCAAGAATCGTGAACGCTTAACCTTTCTTCTTTTTAGAGTGCCCGTCTCCCTACGGAGGTTGGCAATCATAACGGCAATTTTTATTTTAGAGCTTGCTGCTCTAAACAAATCAATCGATTTGGATTGATACCAATCACATAGATTCTGTAACCATGAGTTCTGCCTTCAGCCAACAGATCTTCTTCCTTGTACCTTCTCCAGTACTTCTTTATTTGTAATTCTATCAGTCCATGATATTTTTAATACTCTGCGGTATAACCAGAGTTCGAAAGCCTCGATTTTTTTAAATTGTATTTTTTTAATGTCCAAGTCTCAGCTCCATATAATAATATTGAAAATATATAACAGCGAATGGTACGTAGTCTGATCACTTAACCACCGACCCCTTGAACTGGCCTGCTGTTGTACGATCCTGTCTCCCGAAATCGTCTGATAGCATCTTGTACCGTAGTTCTGGGTACATCGAGTATACCAGCGTAATTATTGTGTCTATTATTGTGTTCGCATTTTTTCTTTTTGACTTGCCTCCCAATTCTTTTCTCCTAATTGCAATTTTTTTTATCATTCTCTTCTCTTCGTTCTCTGTTAACAACATTCCTAAGGCTTCAAAGTAATCAAAACGATCACGTAAGAAATCAAAGTAATCTGCTAAAGATTATAACAGATGACCGGTTGTTCTTAAATCCATATTTTCGTTTTGTACTGCTTTATTCATCTCATTAACTTTTTGTAAAACGTCAAACCAGAATGATAAAATTATTTCGTTTCCCAACAAATCAAGTTTTTCTGATTGGATCTTTCATGTTCGTCAAATATTTCTTTACTTTTTTATTCCATAATGAAAATCCTGTTTTAAATTGGTTCTTTTTTTTTTCAAATAAGACACATAAAGACAAAATATATTGCCAGTGCCCTCGGAGTAAATTGCCCAATGGCGGCGAACCACTTCTCCAATAACAAGTTTTTTATAAACTATTTGCTTACTGGAATACTTATTTTGTTCGCCGAAATTTCTTTTTGACATTCAGTCCATATCTGTAAGATTCTGTTCTACCCATGTTTCTAGAATCATTTCTGCATAATTATGGCAATCTTGCCAAAGTGCTGGATCTTTCAAAACTGATATCATGTGGATTTGTATGCAAATTTAATTTTATCATAATCATATAATTTCGGAATAGTACGCGCTTCGCGCGTACCGCTCTGGAACCTTCAACCGCCCGGTATTACAGCCCCGAAAAGAACCCTGGTTAAACCGGCGCTGCATAAAATATGTCTTTCTTCTTCTTCTTAACGTGCCCTATCAAGTCCCCTTGACGTTGGCGATTAACATGGCGAAACTGTCTCTGTCTCGAGCTATTGTAAATAGTTGCTCAGCTTTCTTTATTCCTGTCCACTCTACCTGCCTGCTTTCTACCAATTCCTCTGCGTCCTTCGATTTTACCCATCATAATAAGTTGAAGAATATTATATCGGTCTCCCTTACTACGTGTCCAAATAGCCATTTGTCCATTTGCTCTCTCAAGGACTGCCACATTTGTCAGCATAGCCGTCCATGGAATTTTTAGTATACGTCTGTGCAGCTACATTTCAAAGGCCTCCAGACGATTAATGGTGGATATTTTTAATGTCCATGCTTCGACACCATATAAGAGGACTGACCAAATGTAGCATTTAACCATGCGCTTTCGAAGTTGAAGTTGCAAGTTATCATTACAGAAGAATGACCTCATTTTTAAAAATGTCGTGCGGGCTATCTCGATTCTACATTTTATCTCTTGATCTGGATTTAGTTATTCAGTAATATGACAACCAAGATATTTAAAACTGGACACTCTTTGAATTATATGACCATCAATAATCGTGCATCTTGATGTGCTAAACGGCTAAACGCCATGTGTTTTGTTTTTGAACAGTTTATGTTTAGGCCAAACTCTCTTCCCACTGTATCAATGGCATTTAAAAGGCATTGTAGTCCATTCATGTCATCACTTAAAATAACTGTCCGTCTGCATATCTGATTGTATTTATCAGAATTCTATTAACTTTCACGCCCCATTCCAAATTATGTAGCGCTTCTTTAAATATTCTATCTGAATATAAATTAAATAACAGTGGGGATAGTATACAACCCTGTCTGACACCTTTTTGTATTTTACATATTTCTGTTGATTTTCCGTTTATGCAAGCTGTCGCTGTTTGACGCCAGTATAACTTTTCTATGAATCGTATGTCTTGACTATCAACTCCTTTATCTTTTAATATTGTAATTAATTTGTGATGCTGTACTCGATCAAAGGCCTTTTCATAGTCAATAAATACAGCAAAGACGTCTTTCCTTTGATCTCGACATTTCTGCAGTATTACAATTAGTGCAAAGAGGGCGTCCCGAGTTCCCAGTCCATTTATGAAGCCAAATTGTGTTTCATCCTGATCTTCTTTACATTTATCTCTGATTCTACTGTGGATGATGCGTAGAAATATTTTCAAAGTGTGGCTCATAAGGCTTATCATTCTATAATCGCTACAGTTTTTCGGACGTTGTTTTTTGGTAGTGTTATGAATTCGGACTTTACCCATCTTCAGGGATATCACCAGTCGAATAAACATCATTGAAAAGTTTGACCAGCATTCCAATGTTCTCCTCATTTATAAGCTTTAACATCTCTGTCGGTATGTTATCAGAGCCAACGGCTTTCTTGTTCTTTGCTAACTTTATAGCATGCATGTCTTTCTACTTTTAACAATATTAACTGAGTTGTACGTCGAATTGTTTAAATATATTCTGTTGACTGTAATTCCTATTTTAATATTTTCAAGAGCTCTTTCAAAAATTTATTCTGTACTTACCTATAAAATATATATTGAACAGAAGAGCAAGAACTACACAACCCGTTTCTAGTATAAATTGATTTAAATGGAATCCTATAGCTCATAAGTATTTCAAACAGATCTTTGTATTTCGCTTGGTGAAATGCCATTGCTTGAAGACTAAATATTACCTTTCTGGTATAAAGTCTCGAAAACCAAACTGATTATGATCAATCTAATCTATTAAATCTAATTTTGATTGTATATTTTTCGAATAGTTTGCGGTCGTCTTATTTTTTTTATTGTTATACATCGCCGTAAGTTTATCCTTGTCATCAATACTAATAATTATAATTCTTTTTCACAGTCTTGTATTTTTTATATGTTGATATTTTTAAATCTTTTTAATATATATTTTGTTGCCAGTGTTTAACTTCTGATTATCTCTTATTTTTTATTTAAACAGTTAGCAACAGTTAACAGATTATATAACTTAATACCTAAATATACATTTATTATATAAATAACTACCTATGGTCAAAGAGATAATTTTCAAATATCCTGTTTTTTATTTACTGAATACTGAATGTGGTACATGACTAGAATGTTTTCTGGTATAATGACTATTAACTGTTAAATTAAAAACCTGTATCATTAATGCATGGAAATTCCGAAAGGTTAAATGTATTTGTTTGTCTTCGTTGGTATGATGAATGCACTAATATTAATATCGGAACCAGAGGGTACAAAACAATTTGGCAGTTTCCATTCATTAATATTTTTAATATATCTATAATACATATTTTTAATATAAGTGTGAAGTAGTAGAAAATTTGGTGTGTAATTAATATTATCATAGGTTCCACCAAAAAAGATAGTGTAACCTACATCCAATGTTATCTGTTTGTATCCATATATTACCAGTACCATAATGGACATTTTCCATAGGAAGCTATTTTTTTGCTAGAATCCGTTCCGAATGTGCCCAATATCGATAATCACGATATGCGCCAGTCGCAAACCCTGTGCTAAATTTTTTATTTAACAAAATCTGAAAAGAATTGGAACTTTCTCATTTTTTGCTCCTATTTTCGTTTATAGTTCGATAAATATTGATCCTAGGGAAAAAGTATAACAAGTTAAAAGTTTCGATATTCAATTTTACACAATATTTCGTTAGCTAGAAATTAAAAATTTAATGTTTATTGTTGAAAAAATAGCAATAATTGTAAAAAAAGTACAAAAAATGAAGTTAATCCTTTAATTGTTTTCGACTTTCTAAACTTGACTTACAAGCTCCATATTCCGCCTAGAAAAACTTTTTAATATGTTTAAAACGTGTGCTAAATTTTGTTAAGCTCGGTCAGATAGGTTTTGCATAATAATTTTGCAATCCAGCCTATTGGAAAAAAATCACAAATTTTCAAATTTATAGTAGGCCCTAAAACGGCCCTCAGATAGTTGCATTTTTTTACATATAAAGGAAGGCTCCAACTATC